CCCATCATGCTCAACCGGTTGATCCGCCAGGTCGGATACGGATGGACTATGCGAATATCAGCTTTCCTTATTTTGGGCCTCCTCATCATCGCCAACCTTACGGTCCGACAACGAGTTAAGCACCAGCCAGCCATGACAGGGCACAAGGCCAATTACACAGGCCCTTTCAAAGAACTCCCCATGCTGTTTCTCATGATTGGGTTCTTTCTCATTACTTTTGGAGTATTCGTGCCTATAGACTATATTGTTGTTGAAGCCAATGCTTTTGGTATGGGAACAAACATTCGACAATACTTGGTAACGATTTTGAATTCTGCAAGGTAGGCCAGTAAGTAAACCAATAACTTACGACATCAAAAAACTAATTACACCGACTATAGCTTCTTTGGGCGAACCTCTTCCGGTCTTGTCGCCGATAAACTTGGCCATTTCAACGTCTTCACGACTGTCTGCGCAACAACGAGCATCCTTATTTTGGGTCTATGGATCCCTGCGAGCAGCAACGCGGCCATGATATGCTTCGCTGCATTTTTTGGCTTCTTCTCTGGCGCCTACGTCTCCCTGTCCCCTGCTCTAGTTGCCGAGGTGTCGCCTCGTGAAGAGTTCGGATACCGGAATGGCCTTCTCTTTGGTTGCGCGTCAATTGGAGGCCTTGTGACGAACCCCATCGCCGGGGCAATTATTCAGCTCGAGCATGGGTCATTTCGTGGTCTCAAGATATTCGCAGGCACCATGTACTTGGCTGGAACTATGGCTGCATTCGTAGCAAGATTGATTAAAACGGATTTCAAGCTCGGGGTCAAGTTCTGATGGTACGAAAGGTATCGATCGCGAGCATCATCTCACAGCCTCAAAATCTAAACTGAGTATGGGGCAATTTACTTTAGATCTGGCAACATTCCGGAGCACACAAAGGATTACTCATATCACCCTCCAGGGCTTATGTTGTCGTTGTGTGGAATATTTCATCATGCATACGACAGTTCACCCTGGCGCCCCAGAGAAGTAGGACAGGCAGTATTTGAGTGAAAAGAAAAAGAGTAGAATTCTTTGTTGGGTTCCTGATCCAAGATAGGACAAGTCGATATGAACAGAGCAGATAATATTAGGATTGAAGCCTTTCAGTCAAGACCACCTGTCAATACACAAAAAAGACATTTCGATACATAATAATCTGTATTTGTGCGAAACATCAATGTCTTGACTCGAAGCAAGATCCATTTCAAACAGACAGAAACTAGGTCATGCCCGCGAAGGGTCTGGCCATGATGAACCAGGCATACGGAAACTATGACGACTGCTAGCTGCATTATTATCCACCATATCAAGTATCATGGTGCGTGTGGGATTTCCTTTTCTTCAGCTTTGCGCTTCGCTGCGCTCCGTTCCTCGTCGATTTTGCCAACATGTATATCGTCACAGATGAAAGATAATAGGAAAGCCATTGAAGCAGTGACGATGAAGCCTACAAAGAAATGCCGGAAAGTCTTCTTGTGCGCCAAAATGATAGCCTCCCTCTCTGGAGAGCCCCATTCGTAGCTCTGTGCCACAGTGAGCGAGCCCATTATTGCCCTTGCCTGATCTTTGATTTCCGAGGGAAGGTATTGCTCAAGGTTTTTGACGAGAATAGCTGCCTGTTGTTAACAAATGCTCCTCTCCCGTACCCGAGGTCAACTTACTGGTCCACATCCCTCCAGCTACTGCTCCAGCAACTGACGTGGAAAAATTCGCAAGTATGATGTACGCAGCGGATAACACCGGAACATCTGATGGATAATTAGTAAGAAAATCGTGAGGCATATTCCTCCGCAAAGTCGATGTTCGTACTCACCTTGCGGTAGTGTTGAGGCTTGGGCAAGGACAAGAACATTCATGAAACCTCCGAAGCCAAATCCGGAGACAATTTGAGCTGCCACCAAGCCAGCCAACTGAGAATGCGGATCGGGGAAGGCAAGCTGCAAGCCACCACCAAGAACCAGCAGGCCCATGTTGGCAACAAACAACCACTTTGGGCGTTGCATCCATGAAACAAGGGCGCCGTAACAGAGTTGTGCGAAGGCATTGGTCAGTGTCAGCGTCAGCGTGATGTATGTGGCACTCGAGATGCTGAGCTGGCTCGTCACCATTACATAGACGTAAAAGTATGGCAGCAGGAAGCTCAACGAAAATCCGCCACAGAGGCTCGCTAGGTTATGTTTGTTAGCATCAGAAACTTGGAGTGGTGTACCTGAAGAAGGTGTCCAGAACTTACCGAGACATGGGCCCAACACATTTTTATTGCGAATAAGCCTTTTTGGAAAGAGTGGATTGAGAGCAAACTTGGCCTCCCAAATACCAAAAGCAATGAGGACGCAGAAGCCTATCACGGTGGGAGCGACACAATGGGCCGAAGCATACCTTTCCACGCCGCCATGCTCTAGAGGGATGGGGAGGAACAGTAGGGCGCATCCGGCAGCGAGCAAAACACAACCGATCAGGTCCTGTTCTAGCAGTTTGGCCCATATTCCCAGAACTCTACGCTTCCGAGACGCTGGTATCTCTAGCATCCCTTTCTGATGAACCTTTCTCCTTCCAATGAAAAGCGCAGCCAAAAGTGGGATCGAAGCGACGGGAATCTTTATGTGAAAGGATATAGTTAGACAATTGCCGAGGAATGAATCACTTTATTTTGACTGGGCAGGGCTTAGTTACCATGATACACCAGAGTGCGATACCCCATCTCCAACTTAGCCTTTTGAGCACTGATTCGGCCATCTTTGCACCGCCCTTTTCAAAAGGATTTAGTCTTGGTTCTTAATTTTTCATATGGTATCGTGCCCCATGGGTCAGCATTGCTTACCAGTTGGGATATCATGGCAGGCAAATTCGCTGCCCCCAAGGACAATGAGCGGTGTCTCATGTTGCTCAATTCTATTGATCAAAATCAGCCTCTAAATATAAGGCGGGAAACGTAGAAACAGAAAGTTAATGATAATGAAAGGCTCACCAGCAGTTAAGACATATATCATGAATTTAGACGCTACAAGCCGTAAGTTATTGATGAACGAGGTACACTTTGCAAGGTGTCTTACTCATCAGTCCTACAGCGTAAATACTGAAGCCTGCAATCAGGGTGCCTATGCCTGGTGCAGAAGCTTCTAGGATAAATGCAAGGGTGATGAGGCATACAGAGGCGGCAACGATTGTGAAGGAGCTGAAGAACAAATGTCAGATTTTGATCATTGGAGCGGGGAAGTGGCCCAGCCATGCGTACTGAATTTCTCCTGCTAAAGTAGCAAGAACACCCTGGATTCCTTATTTTATGATTGGTAAGTAAATTTTCGAGACAGCGTAAGTTATCGACTCACCTAGTGCAATGACGCCGAAGATAGCAGACAAGGCGCCTTCTACCGACAGCCGTTCGAATTCGCTAAGCGCGTAGACGAAATACGTACCGACAGTGACACTGTCGAGATAGTTTGTAAAGGACACGAGGAGAAGTCCAATCCAGGCGAGAACCAATTGCCACTTGTTGAGCACATCGAGAAGTGTTATGCCAGCCACGAGGTCGTGCTCATTGTCTACTTCCTTTTCACTTGTCGCCACGACTGTAGATTCTACAGCCTGCTTTGTCTCCGAGGCCATGGTAAAAAAGAAGATGGATTATGAGCAAAATATAATTTTGGCCGGTTGGATCCTGATGGCTGCTTGGAGAGCATGCAGTGGCGCTGATCAGCGATCTTTATACTGGCGGCCGATACCACCATGCCTTTGAGACAGATAAGGGAGGTAACTTACAAGGTTTAGACTCTCCCTCCCTTGTCGTGGAGAAATCAATATTGCAACTCGTTATCAGGGAGAGGACAATGTTTTTTGTCCCCGCGTCAAATCGCATGGCTTGGATTGTACCGGTCTACAGGTCTCTTCCATATCATTTGCTAAAATATCTGGGGAACCCTGCCAGCTATCAGTGCCAAGAGACGAAGTTGTCAACCCCCATGTCGAATCTTCTGGTCTTGATAGCGTAATGGTTGACCTGATTAGGCAAGGCGACTTTTTAACTAGTGCTCCTATCATGTTACACTCACAATGATGAGAGGTTCACGAGGGCGGTGGGGATTGCACCTGGATACCTATTCCCGACCCCGTCTGTCATTTGGGAGTAAATCCAAGTCCTAGTCCATTGATAAGGTCGGTGAATTAATGTGATTGGTCTACAGCGTACTGATAGCGGTGAACAAGGATATGATATAGCCACGCTAGTTGTCTGAATGATAAGAAGCCAAGTATACTGTTCAGAGCAGCAGAATGTATCAGACCATTGGAACAACAGAGATGTGGTAACCAGTAAACTTAAGTCTAGAATGAATTGTAGAAATATCGTTTAAGAAGTGTTATAGTTCATTGAGAGTAGCGGGTGCGTTACAACTCCCCATCATTTGCAATGCTCAATATTTCTCTTATTTGTGCCACAACTTATATTTCATTGCATATAGGGTGGCGGCCTTTTTAAGGAAGGGAGCTAGTTAATATTTGGATTGTATGTACCTGTAAATGATTTGCCTAATCTCATACTTCACATCGCAACACGTTAAACACGTCCCCCGAAAATTATGAAGAAGTCGGTAGAACATGCCAAGATTAAACGCATCTGTGGCGTTAACCTATTGCTTCAGAATTGTTACGTTCTGGACGGCTGTGTCTTTATTGGCTGGACGAGACAGTCAGCATTTTAACTGAAAGCATCTGTATTTGCTGCTCTGGGTTGTGCTCATCTTCATTCGTTGAACCTGTTTTCCATATACGACTGCTCAGAGCACCAATGTGTGTGAAAGATCCCATAATGACCGGACGCACCTGAGGGCAGGCAGGCAACAGATCAAAGCCTAGTGAGGGTATGTGGCATAACGCGTGCCAGGCGGGTGTTTTCGCGCCGCCATTTTGCATATCATAACAATACCTCCACTCTTCCTCTGCCTCTTTTCCTTCTTACATCAGTTTACCTCACTCTTGAAATGTAGCGACGGCAACAATAGCCACGAGGGAAGCCCTGACATCTGCGAGGATCTGGAGATGTCCGGCGAGATCGTGATACTCACTATCCGAAGGGCCCAGGATTTGGGAAAACAACTGGACTGGCCATTGCCACGCTTGTGATGAGAGCCTCGCAGGGCAAAATATATGGAAGCGCATCGTCCAACGTTGCCGTCGACAACTTCGCCGAGCGCCTTTCATGATCGGCGGCGAAGCTATCAAGGAGGCCAATAAATGCAGAGCTTTATATGCCACCCAAAGAATACGTCGCATCCTTATTATACGAGGCTATGCCATTCCGACGAGATCGCTGCATTCCGAAAGCTAGTGGGGAATCCCAAGCATGGTAATGATGCCGCACCAAAGAGGGAGTGGAAGCCCAAGTCAAAATGGAAGCTTGATCTATCCGCAGCATATTGGTTATTGATGGTGTTGAGATCTCCTGCCGTCCGCCAACTTGATATTGACAACAGCTTAGCCTTGCACGATATGCAGAAACTCTACGATGGCCAAACGAGTCTTGCTCCCCTCCGGGATATCATAGCGGGTAAGAGACGTTGGGAGGATCTTGATGCTGATGAATTTGGGTCCGAGGTGATTGAGGAGATGTTACAGCACCTCATCAATAACGCAGATATTCTCCTGACCACTCCAGCCAAATCCCAACATCTGAGCTACCGGGCGTGGAAAAGAACAGCTCGTGGCGTAGCGATCGACGAGGCTGCAAACATGACTAGGCCTGATCTTGATTGTGTATGGGGGAACGTTTTGCTTCCGTGTTTTCTAGCTGGTGACGAGCACCAACTTCGACCTACGGTCAAGACAGAGCAGGAAAGGGACAAAAGTGGAAAACTTCTTAATCGACATCATGCCGATGGAATCGTTTCGCCTCTTGAATTCTTCAAGATGAATGGATGGCCTGTCCTCCGTCTACGCGCACAATTCCGGATGGCCAGAGGTCAATTTGATATCCGCCACCGAGAGCTATATTCGGATCTCCCTTTTGAGTATGCCCCGTGCTGCCGCATAAGTACGCCTGCTCACCGAGTCGGGAACCAGCTAGAGGACTACGCTACCCGTAGGTTCCCGGAGCTGAGACCACCTCCTCAAGGCACGCTATCGCCTATTTTCATTCACTGCCGCGGTTCAAAGCGCGAGAGACCCAAGGGGAGATACGCCATGTCAAGTCAAAACACCGATCAGAACACAGCCGCCCTTCAGTTGATAGTTGGGTTCGTGAAAGCGAGCCAGACTGACCCAGCACGCATCTGCCTTATAACTCCCTACAAAGCGAACGTGCATGCAGTTGAGAAGATGCGAAAGAGCAGCGAGTATGAAGTCCTCACCGGTATGCCACCTGCTGCTACCGTGGACTCGTTTCAAGGCCGGGAAGGTGACATCGTTGTGGCTATCATGGTCTCTACAGAGAAGTCTGGGCCAGGGTACATGAGATGTGAGAGCCGGCTGAAGGTTCTGTTATCCCGTCATCGAAGTGCACTCGTGATTGCCGGCGATATCAATGTTGCCGGAGCTCTAGTTGATGACAGCAACGGAACAATTGAGGTAAAGGGGAAACCCCCACCAAGCAACAATGGAATGTTGAGCAATGCGTGTTCGGGACTCGTAAAGGACGGTCGAGTTGTAGTTGTTGAATGTAGCAAGTAGAGGTAAATTAGAAAATTAATGAAGTAAGCTCGGAAAGTGCAGAAGAGTCGCACAGGGTCATGTTATTTAGAAATGACCACGACCAGCTTCCCAATGCCGCCCTTGATCGCATATACTTCCTCACAATTCTTTCGTACCGCCTCAATATCCTCTAGTTCTACAACCCTCATAACCGCCTTCACCTTACCCAAAGCCACGATCTCGCCGGACATCTCCAGATCCTCGCGGATGTCAGGGCTTCCCGAAACCATCTCGTGATAGATGTTTGTTCCCCAAAACTTCCACGTGTAGTAGTATTGAGCCAAGTCGAGTATGACCCCAAACCACCAAGGAAACCGGTCTGCGCCAATAATCTCCTTGGCCACCTTCTTGGTAGGAATGCTGGTGATGGACATCAACGTGCCGGTCTTCTTGTCCAGCGCAGCGATGCAGTCGTCCATTGAAGACATCTGAGTATTAACAGCGAAGTCTACAGTGCCCTGGGGCACGAGATCTCCAACCTTTTGCGTCTTGTAGTCGATAATCTGATCGACCATGCCAGGGAGATATTCCTCCACCAGCGGTACTTTGGCTGTGGATACAGTAGAGATAATCTTGGCGGCGCCAAAGAAGTTCTTGGCTACTTGAATAATGATCGATCCCGTGCCGCTCAAAGCGCCCGGCACGAACACTGTCTTGCCCTCAAGGCTCTCTTCCCCGCGGACTTGCAACCCGCGCTTAATTACCTGGTAGGCCGCAACTACCATGGGGGTCAATGAAGCAGCCTCCTCGAAAGAAAGACTTGGCGGTTTTCGAATAACAAGATTCTCAGGGCAGACGGTGTATTCAGAGACGAACCCTGGTGGCTCTCCGCGGAACATGGGCTTAGATATGTTGGCACCATAGACCTCGTCGCCGACTTTGAGGTGCTTGACGCCGTCGCCAACTGCGACAACGACACCGGCACCTGAGTTTCCGATTTGCAAGGGAAACCTATCATCATGCGTTAGCGGACCCTTCCTCCCTCAACTGTCTTGGACCGACTTCAAACGAACGTGGCCTTGTGGAAAACCTCGAGTTTACCCCCCGCAATCTGCACGTCCCCCGTGCCAAGACTTGCGGCACGGACATGGATCAGGACATCGGTTGGCTCCTTGATCGATGGCGTTGGCATCGAGGCGATCTCGAAGGTGCTTGGCGGCCCTTTTTTGGGGGCCACGAGGGACCGCATTGTCTTGGGAACATTGACCATTTTTCAAATTCAATCGGTTAATATATGGTGCCTACAGGGGTTTCCTTCACTCCGCCGCGTGCAGTGTCTGTTGTATTTATGGTTCGTGTTAGCGGACTTTGGTCTTGCGGGAAGCGGAGGCGGAGATGGGCTGATTGGTTGGTTCGCTAATATTAAGATCAGACGACTTCAGCCCCGAACTTTACGAGGTGAATGTGTGGGAGTCCATTGCTAGTTAGGCCCCTTGATACTACATACGTATGCCACTTTACAAAAATCGCCGATGTAAGGTGGACAACACTTCTCCTCTTGGAACATCCGCAGTCTTCCTATTACTTATACCGGAACTGATATTTATGTCCGTATGCTTCGATTTCATTAATTACCTTATGTGTAAGTCATAAGGGGTGCGATCCTTAGACTGACTCCAGGAAACATATATGGAACGCCTTGAAAAAGGTTGGTGTGGAGTATTCGGTAGTTTCGATTTGACCGATTGGCTAGAGGTTGAAATTTGCTCTAGAAACTAATGCCAAGGCTGCCAAACCCCCGAGGACAAATCTTTTGCTGCGAGATTTCTGTTCAATATTCCCGCCTATTCGGGTGAACAGATAAAAGAAAGTCCTCGAAGTGAATCAAAGTACTGCCGAGAAGTACGAGACTTTTCTAGCCACTAATAAGGATTTGGATAGTGAGAAATGGGTAGTCACCCCAACATGGACCTACATGAGTGAATGCGCAAAAGTAACATCCTTAATACTGTATTCTGACACATCGTTCGCAGGACGAATAGAAAACGTAATGGAACATCGCGATAGAGTCAAAAGAACTAGTTATTTCTGATTATTGTGATGATTATTGTCAATCGAATGGAATACTCCGTCAGAGTCTACGGATCGGAGGCTTGGCAGGTCACGCAATGGATGGGGGTGATCGATAATGCATCCATGGATGAGGATATTAGCCGAAGATCATTGCCTCAGACCAGTGATGAGAGTTAATTGACAATGGTGTCCTGGTCTACAAGATTGATTGGAATGCTTCCCAATGAAACAGGAGGTTCAAGCGCATAGTATAAGAATCAAATTGACGAACGATTTGCAACGATCTCCGTACCGAAGACTGGCCAGTTATACTCTCTGATTGAATACTGAGAAGATTGATTGAGCAAATAAAGGAAGCTTATTGGCTAATGCCAACCGAATTCAATCATCTAAGAGATGCGAGACGTTTCTGATACAGGGGCCCTCCCAATGTGGCAGCTGACCCATCCCAATGCATCACGCTGCCTTTTCATGCACCGCCAATTTTGAAACAATATTTGTCAGTATCAAAAACTGCAATGATCGGTCCATTTGACATTCGTGCGAGTTGAAATGTTATAAATATGTTAAAAGGAACTCCTAAAAGCAGATTTTTATGTATCAACACCGCCCAAGCCTCCAGATTATTGCTTCCATCTCTTTCTGATACGCCAATGATAACAGGCTAAATTTCATCATATATCTTTACAAACTGAAGATCTTTTTATTAAGAATTAAAGAGTTGGCACATCAATCCATCTCTAACGGCTTATCTCCAAACCCATCAGACTGGCTCTCCTCAATCGATACGCCCAGCCTCTTCTTTACAGGTCCTCACGTACACTTTCAAAACTGGTCTGCATAATCAACATCGTCAGGATGACGAGGTGTGAAGCAGACGAATATCACCTTTTGGGCTCTGAATCCCACGAGACCACTAGCCCATGGAAAGAGGCGTCCACCAGAATGCAGGAGATTCGTGACTGGGAGACTCAAATGAATTACCGGGATTCTTATGATACGGCTTCGGAATGGTCAGAGTCACAAGAGAGTGAGGACGGATCTTGGGAGAGTGGCGTGGATGAAGACTTCTTTGGAATAGAGAAGGAAAATGCTCGAGAGTGCCAAAGATTGGCACGCGAGCTTCTCAGAGAGGCACAGGAGAAGTTGGAAATGATAGCAGAAGAACTAAGGATTCACAAGAACGGAATGAAATAAATGGAAATTCACGGTCACGTAGCATATAATGGCGTATATTCTCCCTCCCACGTGTTTCAGGTGATTCTTTTCACTGCACTCCACTCCATCGTGTTTTCGGTAGCTCGAAATTTGAACATGCAAGGTATGGTGTTGCCAACCGCACTTCAGAATGGGCATGGATTGATAAATCTAAGTGTGAATCAATACGTGCAGCCTCAACGTCCGCGTAGCTGACAACTCAAGACGGCCTTGCTGCTGCGTCATTTCATTTTGACATCAAGTCCACGCAGACACTTCCGAATGGCATCATCGATTTTCGACACCTAAGGGCAATTCTTAGGTTGATACTGCATTGGAGGATCAAGAATAATAGAATAAAAAGGTTTTCAGCAACCAAAAAGGGGGTTTAAAGTGGTCGCGGAAGGCGCCCCCAAACAAGTCTACCTACCTCAGCGTTTGTTATCGAGCTAGGTTAAATACTTCCTGTACAAATCATTCTCGTGGGGGGAATTACTAACAAATAATACTTGGAAATCCTTCGTAGATTTCGGATAGGTCTTATTTAGTCGCGCCGCATTCGTTCACACTACTCCGGGAATGTATGGATCTTGTTATACCGCCTTTGCAAGCCGTATATACTTTACAGACTTTTCCTCCCGCATGACTGCAGCCTTGGGCTATTGAAGCTTTTTTTACCTTTCGTATTCATCGTGTTGAGATGTCGGGTCTGGCATCTTCTATTGTTGATTAACTTTATACTCGAACTGTCTTCCGCAAGCCGTACATACATCGGCCGTTTACTTGCATATTTTCAACTCCTCTGCCCCGCCTGCTTACTCCATTTCAGAGACAAAGACGGCTCATTCAAAAGAGTCACGCGTCTTTGCATGTTTTACAATGATGCATATTGCATTGATACGTCACGTCGGGCAACGCCCCCTCAATCCTCCTTCCAATCATCGGAGCCCAGGTGCGACCGAAAGCGCAAGATAACGCAATACGTGCACACATATGCCTGGCCTCCTGCTTCATAATGAGCTAAATCCGAATGCTGACAGCGCCAATGGCTCCACCAGGACGCCCGATTCATGTGAGAATATGCCTTGAACGGGGGCACTGCATACACCGGTAAGAAATAATAAGTTGGTCGCCTTTCCCCGCCTTGTTCGCCCGTTTCATTAGTGTCTTGTGAAGTGGACAAAGGAAAGGACTAATTTCAGGCAGCTCGCACGCCTGGCTTGATGGTCGATTTATAAGTCTATTTCCCCGCTTCCTCGCTTTGTGCTTACCGGTCGTCCCGTCTCCTAGACTGGCAGCAAAAATACCAAAACAACAACGTGTGCTATTATATCCAGCCTTCACCTTGTTCTTGATAATTCTGGTTGCCGCCATCCATCATGGATCGTCTAGGCCGTCTCTTTATCTCGATCGGCGGCTTCCTCACGGGTAACAAGACCAAGCGCAACAACTCGACAACAGAAACACCAGAGGTGACCAGTAGCCCATCCGAGAAAAATGCCAAATCTTTAGAGGCTGGCAAGTTCGATCCGTCGGAATGCGAGCCTGTCAATGACTTGCCGCCATACCAAGAACAAGAACAGAATGCTCTGCGCTCAGCACCCACCCCGGAACTAGCCACCACCTCCTCTGTCGAGCCAACAAAATTGTGCATCAGGGAAGCAACTTCTGCACCCGTGGCGTGGATTCAACACCCTTCCGAACCGAGTTTTCTCATTTGTGGTCGCTGTTATGTCGACCATATCGCTAAGACGAGCTTAAATAAGGAA